AACAAAAATATATTAGATTGATTTTACTGAAGAAAAAAAAAGTTAGATTTCAGTTGTCCGGTCACTTTTGACCGCGAAGACCATGAGTGCGACTCCCAAATGAGGAGTGCACAAGGATTAAAACTAGATTGTAAAATATCAGTCAGTGGGGTCAGAAGAACACATTTTGCAGTTGTGGTTGCTGAATAAATGCATGGCAACTTTGTGTTGCAATAAAAAAATCTTAATTGCTGTTGTTTTAATAGAAAAGCATGAACATAATTTGGAATTGTTGAAGTTAATTTTAGCAATTTCACTGGGTCTCAGCCTTTGAGAGAAGCTTCTTGTTGTACCAGTTCTCATAATGTAAAGAGTGTTAATTTATATAATAAATAAAATGCGTTAGAAAACTAGATGAGGTTAAATAAACCATGCAAGTTGATGTTCTTTTGATTTGTGCTTTTGTGAAAGTGCAGTGTGTAAAATGACAATAAATAGCGATAAATAGACAATAAATATATACATTTTTGCACAAAAATTAGGAAAACATACACTGCAAAAAATGACTTTCTTACTTGAGAAACAAAATGATTTAAAATATCAAGTCTTGTTTTCTGAAAAAGTATATAAATTTGAACTTGAAACAAGAAAAAAAGTATCTGCCAATGGGGGAAGAGAAATAATCTTAATTCAAAGGGAAACCAAGATTTTTTATTTTTTATTTTTGCCCCATTAGGAGATATTGTTCTTACTTTTAAGAAAAAACTCAATTTTGATACATTTTTCAAAGCAACATGAAACCTTCAGTCATTTAGCATTTCCAGTAAATGCATCTTGTTATAAAGACATGGGTTGATATTTGTAAAGAAAAACAAAAATGACAAAAATACTGAATAAGAAAATAATTTTTTGCAGTGTATGATTTATTTTATTTATTTATTTTGTCAAACAAAATAGATGCATATCTGTTTTCCAGTCATGCACACAAATATTTTTTCATTATTTTCTGTAAAATGTATTTTTTGGTTATTTTTTCCCTTGTTTGTAATGCACAAATCACATGATATTCCATGTATTGATTGTTTGTGTGTGTTGTGTTCAGGAGCTGTTCAGGGCATGATCACAGGGATCCGAGGTCTGTGTAACGGACTCGGCCCGGCTCTGTTCGGATTCATTTTCTTCCTCTTCAATGTGGAGCTGAAGGAGCTGAGTCCCGTGGAGCCGAACCCCGTCACGCCGGACACTGAAGAGGTACAAGAGAACGTAATCACTCTCTGTGTCTTTCTCAGGGTTCCTACAGGGTCTGGAAAAGTATG